GAGATAGTGCCAAGAACAAGTTGTTCCATCACCTTTCCAGGGATGGAGGTGAGGCTGACCGGTCTATAGTTACCCGGGTCCTCCTTCTTGCCCTTCTTGTAGACTGGTGTGATATTTGCTATCCTCCAGTCCTCAGGCACCTCTCCTGTTGCCCACAACTTACCAAACGTGATGGAGAGTGGTCTAGCAATGACCTCCCCAGCTCCCTCAGCACCTGTGGGTGTTTTCCATCCGGACCCATCAATTTATGGATGTCCAGATTGCTAAACTGATCCCCAACCCAATCCTCATCTACCAAAGCAAACTCCTCCTTCATCCTGACTTCATCTGGGGCTTTAGGGATCTGGGGCTCCTGGGGGCAGTCTGCAGCATTAAAGACAGAGGCAGAGAAGGCATTCAGTACCTCTCCTTCTTTATATCCTCTGTCACCAGAGCACCTCATTCAGCAGTGGGCCTACATTGCCTGTAGTGTTAGTTCTATCTGCTACGTATTTGAAGAAAGCCTTTCTATTGTCTTTCACCTCACTAGCAAGGTTTAGTTCTAAGGAGGCCTTAGCCTTCCCTGTTTCCTAAACTCCTTAGATGTACACCTAAACATTCAATTTAAACACATATTTTCTTTTAAGCAGGTTTTGAAAACTTTAATTTTCACAGTCTTTTAATTTGCTTCTGATTAAAAGCTCAACTATTTTGACACTTTGTGGGAGACCATTTAAAACCCTCCAGGCAGATCTTTTACATGAGATAGTGCCAAGAACAAGTTGTTCCATCACCTTTCCAGGGATGGAGGTGAGGCTGACCGGTCTATAGTTACCCGGGTCCTCCTTCTTGCCCTTCTTGTAGACTGGTGTGATATTTGCTATCCTCCAGTCCTCAGGCACCTCTCCTGTTGCCCACAACTTACCAAACGTGATGGAGAGTGGTCTAGCAATGACCTCCCCAGCTCCCTCAGCACCTGTGGGTGTTTTCCATCCGGACCCATCAATTTATGGATGTCCAGATTGCTAAACTGATCCCCAACCCAATCCTCATCTACCAAAGCAAACTCCTCCTTCATCCTGACTTCATCTGGGGCTTTAGGGATCTGGGGCTCCTGGGGGCAGTCTGCAGCATTAAAGACAGAGGCAGAGAAGGCATTCAGTACCTCTCCTTCTTTATATCCTCTGTCACCAGAGCACCTCATTCAGCAGTGGGCCTACATTGCCTGTAGTGTTAGTTCTATCTGCTACGTATTTGAAGAAAGCCTTTCTATTGTCTTTGACCTCACTAGCAAGGTTTAGTTCTAAGGAGGCCTTAGCCTTCCCTGTTTCCTAAACTCCTTAGATGTACACCTAAACATTCAATTTAAACACATATTTTCTTTTAAGCAGGTTTTGAAAACTTTAATTTTCACAGTCTTTTAATTTGCTTCTGATTAAAAGCTCAACTATTTTGACACTTTGTGGGAGACCATTTAAAACCCTCCAGGCAGATCTTTTACATTAATCTGAAAATCATACACTTTCTGCATCAACATCACCACTTTTTTCAGAAAACAGCTGCATCAAGAACAGCAATAAGATTCACCAAGTTGCATTTTGCTTCCTTAACACATGGGAATAGCCAACACAATAAAATGTGCAAGTTAAAAAGAACCAAGTTTGTTCTGATTGGTTTTAATAATCTATTCCAGCACCCAATTTATGCTGCAGATTTTCAAAAGCTGTTGGACAGATGGTCCCAAAAGAGACTGTATTTTAAGAATCTCATTCTTGTGATATTCTCTAACAATTAATAAAAAATAGGGGATATCACTACTAATAGCCTATTTGAAAGTACTTTGCTGACAGTATGCAGTGCCATGGTCCTAGCAACAGTATTACACAAAGAAAATTACCTATTTTAAAGTAATAACACTGATTAGATTTTTTTTATCTGAGTGTATCATCTCTGTGTAACCAGCATGTAGTTCATCTATCAGCCCTGCTGAAATCCTAAATGGCAAACTCTTTTGCTTTGGAAGCTGTACTGTTAGAAATACATTCCAGAAATAGAAACCAACATCGCAAAAGCACCATGAATGACAAGACCCAGCAGTGTAATAGTGTCAGGCTGCTAAAATATGAGAAGAGAGAAAGACCTCTGGGATCTTATTTTCTTTCTCTCTGATGTTTCCTCAAAAGATTCTGAAACTGAAATATTTATGGCTGGATATGTTTCTGATTTTGTTTCCTTCAAAGAGAGACCGCACTATCTTTGGGTACCACTGTGGGAAGAAATGGTTTATTGATAGACAGAAAAGAAAATAACTAGCACTCAATTATGCATACTTATGTATTATGTATCATAAAGAACATACATATTATGATGACCTACCAGCCTCTTTCCAGTTGCAGGAATTAAGCCCTGTCATGGCAGTGAAGGTAATCCTACCTTAGTTAGTAGCCTAACTTTTGTATTTGGATGAGAAAAGATACTTCAGCTTAGCACACAAAAGGAAACTTCATTTGTGTCATTTTCTTGCTTAAGTTGCATAGTACAACACATTTGTAAAAATGTCAGTTAGAAACGTTAATTTTTAACGTCCAAAGCACACACAGGAATAGCAGAAATAGCTTTCTCAAGCACAAATATCCCAGTTATACTTACAAATTTCACCCCAGATTCTCAGCACGGTGAAAAACAAGAGCATCAAACATAGAAAAGCTCTGAATAAGGCTACATGGGCATTTACAAATATCCAGAAAGAGACAACTTAATTTCAAGTATCATGGGTGGATGCTGTAACTTGTAACCAAGGGCTCAGGTACTCTTTTACCACTGCTGTGTAACTTTCCAACAGAAGAATCCAAACTATTCTGATTGTCTTCAGAAAAAGGTTTTGAAAATACAAAATCATTAAGTGATGGTTTAAGGTTAATGGAAACCAATGGATTCCAGAAGGCTTGGATATGCCTTGATGTACACTGTAGTTTTACAGTGTGTTTCTTGGAGGCATATGAGGAAATGCTACCAAGATAATTCACCTATGCTTTGCAAAGGTTTATTTTCATCCAGTCTCTTGAAAGAGTTATTAATATACCATATGCCAGTTTCCTGTTTCCTCATATCATACTTCAGAG